TTTTAAAATATTCATCTAATCTGGAATAAGTCTTTTTTGTGGCTACAGTGCAATGGTCTTGAATTGAAATAGTTGGTGTCAGTTGATTTCTACTGTTGTTGTCAGTGGAAAAGCCCTAACCTGAATTAATTTTTGCACTATTTTGAGCTGATCATGTAGAGACACATGATGATGTTCATTACTGCCCAAACTGAACATCTTTAATTGAATGGTTTGTCTCTTAATGTCTCAAAATGTAAGATTTGCCAAAACATTTGAAGATCAAGTTTTTACTATCGGTAGCTTTTGCTGTCCAATGTGTAAATGTTTGTTTGTGTTTTTTCTAGGCACAGTGACTATAAGGTTGTTTCTCCTGCTCTGCGTGCGGTGGGCAACATTGTAACAGGAGATGACATCCAGACTCAGGTAGAGGCTCACTTACTCACATCAGCTACTGATTCCCTCACTTTATGTCTGCGTGGATTTATTTGTAAGGGTTCTCTTACAGGATTAAATGTTGATGTCTGTTTGTATTGTGTGTGTCATCTCAGGTAATCTTGAACTGTTCAGCACTGCCATGTTTACTCCACCTCCTCAGCAGTCCCAAGGAGTCCATCAAGAAGGAGGCGTGCTGGACTGTGTCCAACATCACAGCAGGAAACAGAGCTCAGATTCAGGTAAAGGCTGCCTCATCTGCGTATCGTGCACTGTAGGAATTCTTATTTTTCAAAAAAATTTGGCATTTCCTATCCTAGGAACAGAAGCACAAAATCCCAGAGACTGCACTTGTTGCGTCTTGTTTATTGCTATTTTATTTAACAAACAGTAGGCACTGAATATAAATTATATAAGTTATTACAATAGTGGTATAGAATTTCCATACAGACACAGTGTGCAGTACATATACAGTATAAACATTAACCAAGGTACAAAGTTACTTTAAAAATGATATTTATTGCCTAGCTTCTACATACTGTTATAAGGACAGTACTGAGTTATATGGATCTGATTGCACAAGGGATTTATATTGGGATACATTCTAGAAAGGTTTGAGACGATGCTGTAACCTGCACTTGTTTTTAAAGCTGAACTTAAGCTGCAGTCAAAACGTATTAATCCTATTTCAAGCAACATTAAACACCAGGAAAAAGTTTGAGGACCAGTGGTATAGAGTGTCGTCTGGAGAAGGGCTGCTGCTGCTGTGTGTCTGTGTAGCTGACACTATTTGTTCTCTTGTCAGAATGTGATTGATGCCAACATCTTCCCAGTACTGATTGAGATCCTTCAGAAGGCAGAGTTCCGCACAAGGAAGGAGGCAGCGTGGGCCATTACTAACGCCACCTCGGGTGGCACTCCTGCACAGATGAGGTACGTTTACCAGACTTCAACACGGGTTCTCTGCGATGAACTTAAGGCCGAAGAACACGTCACTCATGGATAAAGGGGAACATTATCAGGCATTATAGGAATGCAGCAGTGATAGTTTACTATTTGAAATGAACATGTTTCTTTGTGTGAACAGGTATCTGGTGTCTCTGAATGCCATCAAACCCATGTGTGACCTGCTGACAGTAATGGACTCAAAGATCGTACAGGTCTCTCTGAATGGCCTGGAGAACATCCTCAGACTGGGAGAACAGGAGGCCAAACAGAATGGAACCGGCATCAACCCATACTGCGCTCTCATTGAGGAGGCTTACGGTACAGTTCTACAACACATCACATAACAAAATAAACACCTCCATTCACTTCTTAGACACGGGATGGGAATTTACATTTTATTTTTATTTTTTTACTGCTGCTATACCAGAAATATTTCTGTGTGCCAACAATTGTGCAGTTACACTCAGCTTCTATAATATGATTAGGTTTCTTTGTACAATACATTATATTGTCTGTTGGTGAGACATTGAGTAATGAAATTGTTAATTAATAAAGATGTAGTTGAATGCCTGACTGTCTAATAATTCACAAGAGCACCAGCATCTCAGAC